CAGGCAAGGCTTACCGCCGGTTGTCAGGATACTTCCCCTGCTTGAGGGAAGGCCCTAAAACCCCAAAAACCCTAAACCCTAACCCCGAAACTCCTAAACTCTAAACCCTAAACCCGAGGAGGCCTCAGCGCCCAAACATCATCAATGCAAGCCACTGAGTCCTCCCCCTGCCCCATGTGTTGCAACACACCCCAGTCAAATCATCCCCAGGTACAGGCCTTCCTTGGGTTTAGGGTTTAGGGTTTAGGTTTTTTTGGTTTTAGGGTTTAGGGGTTGGGGCTCACGTTGCATGCCCTTTGTGCGAGCCTTTTGTCGGGAGGCGTCTTGAGGGACCTGAACGTTGGCGCCTCTAAATCTTAAACCCTAAACCCTGAACCCTAAACCCTACACCCTAAACTCTAAACCCTAAACCCTAAACCCTAAACCCTAAACCCCAAACCCTAAACCCTAAACCCTAAACCCTAAACCCTAAACCCTAAACCCTAAACCCTAAACCCTAAACCCTAATCCGGAAGGAGCCTTCAGCTTCCCAACTCGGCGGGGCTCCGCTCGAGGAGCTCGTGGCCTCAGGCCTTGGCTCTTTTTTTTTGAATGTGTTTAGGGTTTAGGGTTTAGGGTTTAGGGTTTAGGGTTTAGGGTTTAGGGTTTAGGGTTTAGGGTGTGATGTTCGGGTGGCTTTTATAACCCCCCCCCAGCTTTTGTTTTGGTTTCCGGGATCTTGAGGGGCGAAAAAAAGAGAGAGGGGGTCAAAGTCATGAATTCCTGGCATCTGGGGGTCTGGGGGGTCTGGGGGGGGGGGGTCTGGGTGGGGGCTCAGCGAAGGGTTTGCCTTGGCTTGTATTCAAGGGTTCTCTGAAGTCTGAGACCAGGACCCGAAGGCTGAAGTCTCAAGCTTTAAGGGATTCTTATCTTAAGCCTTAGAGGCAGCTTTTTTTTTTTTACTTGAGGCTTTCTTGGTTTCCCGGCCTTCCCCATCTCAAAAAATATTATTGCCACCCCTTTATTATTGTCTTTTTGGAGGCCCGCAAGGGGTACCCTTTCCGGATTTGTTTTCGAGCCCCGGCGGATAAAGACTTAAGCAAGGAAACCTTGCTTTGAGAACTCTGGCGGTTTCCAGAATTCCAGGACCCGGAGGCTGAAGTCTCAAGCTCAAGGGATTCTTCTCTTAAACCTCAAACCAGCTGAAGCTTTTGCTGCAGCTTCCGTATCTCTGCAGCCTGCAGCGGCGCATGGGTTCTGGTACTTCTTTGGGGCAGCTCAGGCACCGTAAGTCTTTCACGGCCTCCGTGCTTCTCTGAGAGCAGGGGCCTCTGTAGCCAGGCTATCTGTCTCAGCCTCTGGATCTGCAGCAATCTCAAAAGACACCTGCTTCTCGGAAGAAACAGGCCGGAAGGAGCTGTTTCTCGCAGTTCTGGAGCTGCAGCAATCTCAAACGAGATCTGCTTCTCTAAAGACTGAGCTCTGGAGCTCTTTCAAGCCAGCTCAGCTGAACAGTCTTTCTGCAATGGAACTTTTAAGCAATCTCGAGCAAAATTTCAGGTCCCCGGCCAGCCGAACCCGACAATTGTGGCCCGCCGAATTTTACAGTTGTCACCCCATTATTATTATCATCGGACCCCCCTATATGGGTCTGTTTTCACACATCAGCCTAAAAACCTCCGGTAATGGAAAGTAGTCTTGGGCCGGGGCCCTCTGCCACGCCGAATATTGCTATTGACACCCCAATTAA